GTCGATGGACGTCTTTAGGAATGTCGGAATCCAAAGTTGTGACGTGCAAAAAGGAGTGACGAGAAGGACGTTCGATATGCTCTCAAATGAAGTAATATGTGTAGTGTTATTGAGAATGAACAGAAAGCATAATAGAGTAAGCGGAGCCATTGTTGTAGAAAAGCATCCATGTCTAGAGCTGTCGGATTCGTTCCTCAACTGTAGAAGCGTGTGAGATGAGAATATAGTCGACACACAAACAGATCTATATCCAGAATTCTCCAAATTGAGAGCAATCGATTGGACACCTCCGAATTGGTTTATATAATGACCTGTGGGGATATTGTCCATTCTCAACAATATGGAACAATTGGTGGAAGTTCTTAGGAGGCTGCAAAGAACAAAATATACCACTAGGAGTTTGAGACCATTGATGTGCACAGACTTCTCGTGGGTAGGCCACTTCCTACCTGTTCATATAGGAACGCACATTCCGCCCCAGTCAAGTGTTTTTGCGGATTTCTCCCAGTTCACTAAAAAACCAAAGTCTGAAGTAGTGCCACCACCCACAAAAAATGACACCTAAGTGCGAGAATATCTTGCAATATAATGCATAAATAATCAACCAAACCCCAGTCCTTGCAGTCGCCCCATCGAGAACGAAGCACATCCAGGCATCAGCTGAAAGGGACTTCCAAGCATTGAAAAAGAGAGCACGCCTGCCTTCTACTTTTGTTAGGGAAGAAATGGGAGATATACATACGCTTATCATAAGTTTGTCTGTCATTAACGGCTTATCTGGCCCTACGACTTTGCCAAGGTCTTCCAAGGATCATAAAGAAGGATGGTTTAACATCGTGTTGTATGAGTGGTTGTGGGACCTCATTTCCCCCGAAGGGAACCTCTGTTGGAACGGATGCCCAGATGGCCTCAAATTCTGCTGACCTCACCAAAAGCCTTTGGGTTAAACAGTATTTTCATATTAGTCTGAGCTTTGTCCAAGGCCGTGAATATGCTCACCTAGGAACCAAGCTCCTTAACGAACTTATCTCTATACTGAAGACCTTTCTCTTGCAGACCAGATTCCGACGTGTCCCGATTTACCAGTTATGGTTATATCTGTTGCAAGATAAACTTGTGACTTTCAGTCGCAAAAGCTGTGTTAATGTTAATTATTAGGCAGATTGATCATTACATCCAAACCATGAGAGAGTGTATGTCAAAGGGGTACCTTTAGACAATATAGACTCCACCATCTCAAACATTTATATGTTAGGGTCAAGGATATAAGCTTATTTTGTGTGGCCTTATCAAGCTATTTACACACTCCTAAGTCCAGGTATTTGGCCATGTACTCAGATGGATACCACTCAGCAGACCCTCAGTTACAGTATGTAACCAAGCAATAGCTTGGATTGGGCCGATCTGACCTGATCGAGCCATTGCTCTCAGACTCATATGAAACCTCTAAAGACATCTCGGTTAGGGCCTAAGTCCTTTTCCACTTCTGCACAGATTTTGCCCCGTGGGGGAGGGGGGGCACTTTTAAGTGGTACCACATTATCTTTATTGACAGGACATACTCAGTAGTTCTCAAATGTTTTGAAGGCATGGGTCCCAGTATGAGCTGATTTACAGGTGGATTTATGGCTTTAGGAAGGCACCACCAATTTATCTCTAATCAAGCAAAAACTGCTTCATTAAGCTAAAAGTTGTTTTGGTGACTACAGTGTCCCTTTAATATTACATTTTAAAAGAAGCTGTAGTGAAATAGAATATCCATCTCACACACTGGGATCTCATATTTTGATTCAGTCACTGTAGCCCACTCTACTGTAGCAGAAATCCACAGTGGATCAGATGCCTTTTATCTCAGAACAGAAAAGTCACCAAGAGCTGAAGAAGTGACACTTTGATCTAGAATGAAGTCCCTCTAGACCATCCCAAAGTGCATGGCTCTTCTGCTCTATTTGAGTGTCCAGAACTAACTGAAGACTTGGGTTAAATTTATTTGGCAGGCGCCATACATTAGTGCAAATGCTTATACTGTTTTTTTTAGCTCACACATTATCTCCTCCAAAATGGAAGTAAGATAAGAATACGTGTCAGAAGACAGGACAGATTTCTAGGTAAAACATTAATTTTGTGGGGGGAGGGATCCAAATGTGTGTGGAAGAGTTACAGAATGCAAAGGTGAAATAGATTATAGAAAACCAGCCTTATGATGAGAGACAGGGCAGACTGGTGTAGAGACAAATCCAAGAAAATTAAAAGCTTTACTAAAGAGATGAGAGTGGCTACAAAGAACAATCTTATTCACTATTCCTGTCTGTACAACGTTTGACACAATTCATCTAGCTACCCTTCACCTACATATACTGTAATCAACCATTGCAAGTTAGTATGCACTAGCAATAACATTTACAGTGTGATATAAATATATGTTGCACCATATGCCTGCCACCCAAGTTTACACCCTCTAATGCCAGAAACACTTCCTTATAAAATGTATACACACAGCCTCAGCCCAAACAGCTCTGAGTGACCTGCTTTTAATTCAAAGCCTTGCTGCGGACAGCCAGAGAAACTATAAAATGTATGTAGTGATCCTTTAGAATGTAAGCTCATTGAGCAAGGCCCTCCACCTCTCTCTTCCTGTATGTCCAGTTGTTTGGTTACAATTACATGTCTGTTAGTCCACCCGTTGTACAGCGCTACGGAATCTGATGGCACTATATAAATAAAAAAATAATATCCCTACTATAGGTCTCCACAGGTGTACTCTCCTAACACAGGTTGCTTTGTAGCTCAGATCACTCAGTAGTGTCAGTGGCTGAGAGGTCTTTCGGGCGTGGCTAAAATAGGCAGGCTTATAATGCAGCATTCTGCAAAACACTTTATTTTTTTTTTATAAACAAAATATATAAAGATACGAGCACACAAAAAATATATATTAAAACATATTGAAGTCAAAATCTATCAAATGCATTCAATTTGTATTGGAACCCAGTGTCCCTTTTAAACTTACAGTGACTCTAAATGCCCAATCAAGGTTATATCTCTTTCTTCCATCTTTACAAAATTGATAAAAGGAATGGAGCATTTTAGTTATGAAGAAAGGTTAAAAAAATTAAATCTGTTTAGTTTGGAAAAACGGCGCCTGAGAGGGGATATGATAACTTTATACAAATATATTCGGGGCCAGTACAAACCTTTACCTGGAAATCTATTCATAAACAGGGTTATACATAGGACACGAGGTCACACATTTAGGCTGGAAGAAAGGAGATTTCATCTAAGGCAAAGAAAAGGTTTTTTTTTTTTACAGTAAGGACAATAAGGATATGGAATTCTCTGCCTGAAGAGGTGGTTTTGTCAGAGTCCATACAGATGTTTAAACTGAAATTGGATAAATACTTACGAAAACATAACATACAGGGATATCATTTCTAATTAGTGGGGTAATAGCTGCTTGATCCAAGGAGACACCTGACTGCTATTTTTGGGGTCAAGAAGGAATTTTTTCCTAGTTTGTGGCAAAATTGGAAGTGCTTCAGACCATGTTTTTTGCCTTCTTTTGGATCAACAGCAACAACATTTGTGAGGAAGGCTGAACTTGGACGCAAGTCTCTTTTCAGCTATGTAACTATGTAACTATATATATATATATATATATGTAACATGCACCACTGGGTGATCATTATGATCTTATATCATACTTTTCACTATACCTCTTTCTATGCTTGTCACTTATACTCAGCAAGTAATTGTAAGGCTTTTCAATCACGAGTGGGTACTGTGGCCGCTTACGCAATATTTGTATACATATCCCCATGGTAACAGGGTCCCGCGCACGGAACATTATTAGATCATTGGTGGGGACCTCTGCATGGCACGCAGGCGCATGGAGGGGTCTCAGACGCTCCAATACAGGTGATTTGGGTAAGGTAGGTTTGTTTTTTTCCAACTGATCCAGCGAAACGGTCAGCCTGTCTCTATAAAGTGCATGCATTCTTTATAACCCTCTGACTTGACAACTTACTATTACCTCTAGGTAACAAAGGGATCATCACATTTCTTATTGTTGCAAACAGCTGGCACAACAATAAGAAATGCTGGTGCAACATTTGTTTTAAATCTATAAATAAATTATATTGAACATTATAAACTAGACATTTAAGAAAACAGGGGTTATACATGTCCTACATTTTTGTATATTTAAAAAAATAAAATAAAATGGTCCTACATTTTAATGACAGAGTATATCAAATTTGCTCTTAATTCAGACAATGACACTACATGAAATAGCTTTATAGCATAATTGGAAATTAGACTAAGTCGAAGTATTACTAATAACACTTGAGTTTGTGGATTCATTTTTGCGCATCTCCTGTAAGAACATAGGACCAATTTTTCCCCTTTTTGGACAACCTTGAGGTGTTTGAGCAAATCTGATCCACCATAGAATTACAGAAAGATAATATAGTAGACTTGTGCACAAATTATTAATTTGCACCCAAACAAATCTATCTTTTGAAAATGTAACTGTGGAATCTTATTCATTGAAAAGCTTGTGGCTCATCATGGTGTTCCTGTACTTGTAGTCTCATTTGATTAATATTGTGCTTATCTCCAAGGTGACCATGCTGGCTCGCAAACCTGTATACAAAAGTGTAAAACCGTCATTCCTAGATGATGATCTACAACTCCCTTGATTTTCATGAAGGCTAGAGCGGCCAGGGAATTATGGGAGTTGTATAAAATATAAGCCTGCCTAGGTCACATCTCGCCAATACTGTGTAAGGCATGTCTTGTAAGACCAGCTATAATAACCATTTTTCCTACTTATTAATTGCTTTCCAAAATTTTGCAGCACATGACTTCTTCATACACTACTGGATTACCAGCATACTTACTACTCACCTTCCAGGCTTACCTTACCCATACTCCTGTGTTTATTGTATAGTTCACTTAAAAACAGGGGAGAAGGCACAGGTAAAAAAACAAAACAAACACACAAGGCCACCTCACTGCAATGTTTATTTTTTTATTTCAATATGAAATTTAGCAAAAATACAAAAATGACAGAATCTGCATTGGATCAAGTTGAAGGGGTTTAATTTATATTACAAGTGCTGACAGAACAGTCAATGTCACTGCATTAATGTATATTCTCCAATAACTACAAATAAGGGTCTATAGAAGACATTTATATCAAGGACAGCTTTTTCCTACTTGTTCATAAATTAATGAAAATTTAGATAGACTTTGGTCCAGGAAAACCACTAAAACCGGTATAATTATGGCTCTTAGTAACAAGGTCAAGTTAGAAAAACAAAACAAAAACAAAAAAAAAAGCTTTTCAAAATGTGCAAGTATGCAAGAAAAATACACATAAAATATATATATATATATATTTTTTATTATTAAATCACAACTTCCAGAGGCATTTCCTTTAATGCAGTTTTTTGGCTGTCCTCTGTATAAAATGGAAAAAAAATGTATTTCCAGTCTATAAATGGATCCACATTAAACATCCGATCTATTATTGGAATATTGGGATACTCAAGACTATAAGATACTCCCACTAGAAAGCTGTTCATGAAATACAGCCATGCAACATTCATATCCATGTATCCCGGGATATGGGCACATGAGAAAAAAATGATTATTTGAATGAGAACAAATGGCGCCCACGTCCCCAGAAATGAAAATAGAAGAGAAGTCAGGAGACATCTAGTGCTTCGTATTGGCCACTCATTTCCATATGAAAACAGAATCACAGTTTTATCACCATAGGAAGTTAGTTTCATTGTTCTTATTAATGCCACAACCTCAAAACAGCAGATTACAAGAACCATGAAAACTGTAACGACTATGGCAGCTGATAGATAAAAACTTTGTCTGCTGATGTAAAAAGTGCATTGGTGGGATATTACTCCAGCATTCCATTCTGCCGAGCCAGCCGGGATATTGAGGGTATACAAAAAAGCCAAAGTCCACAGGAGCAGAACAACTGCAGAATATAGAAATCCACTGCAAAACCTTGAAAGATGTACAGACTTTACAATAGTCAAGTAATAATCCAGTCCACTTGCTACAAAAACAGGATAGTGTAAGATACCATATGTGTGGGATATAATCTGCGTCAGCAGACATATATGGTAAGTTGTGAACCTAACTCCCCATATCGCAAAATCCTGAAAATAATGAATGCTGGAGACTGAAAACAAAAGAGCAAAATCGGTCAAGGCTAGGGACAGACAAAAATATCCCATGAAACTCGGACTGACGCTTCTTAGTTTTGCTCCGAAAATAAAGATGTTCATTATAATTTTGCCAGTTATAATCAGGATTAGAATACAGCTTGGCTCAAGACGCTCAACAAAGGTCTCTGCCTGTAGCAGGTCATTACCATCCATTGTTATATCCGAGTCAGACGAGTTCTCTTCTGATGATGACCTACAAAAACTGACGTGGTTTGCAATCATTAAATGCAAACATTTTCCGGAGAGGGGTCTTCTTCCTGGAATATTCACAAAGAGATTATATGTTAGGATTTATCAATTATTTTCCCGAGATTTACACATTGAAGGAAATCTTAAAATGTACTTTATTACTTCCAGCTCATATCTAGCTTCTGATTTTATACAAAATTATATTTTCCCACCCAAGAAATTTATACTATATTAAAGGGAATATTCACCAAGTCAGCAGCTCTGGAAACAGGACTAGGAAATTGTTGATTTCAGGCAAAAATATTTTATTCAAATTTATAGAATTTACCCAATTCTGTGATTTTGGTCTAGCATTTCAAGTTTGTCTATTCTTCACAAAATCTTTTTCAGTGAATAAACTCTTAAAAAGCTTGGAAACATGAAGAAAACGCTAGGTCTGAGCAAAATTTTTCAGAACCTGCAAACGAAGAAGAACATGAAAATGTAAGAAGCGCACAGAAACTTGACTGAATTTTAAATTTAAGGCCAGAGTAGCCAGAAAAAAAAACATAGCTGACAAAATTTTGCCATTTAGGCTATTTTGAAAATAAATGTTAAATTCACTGTGAAAGTTTACTTTATAGTGAATAAACTTATAAGACAAAAAGTGCGATATTAAACTACAACTACAGCTTAATGTATTTGTTCTAGTGAGTATAGTCCCTGCAGGCTTTTTTTGCAGTAAACACTGTCTTTTTAGTGAAAATGCAGGGTTTACATTACAGCCTAGTGATAACTCCACTGGCAACTCTTCAGACGGCTACTAGAGGTGCTTCCTGGGCAGTGCAGATCAGGGGCTGAGCCAGCACCAGCAGACTGGGCTAAAGATTTTACTATATTTAGGAGGGCAAGGGGGGGGGGGGGACCAGGATAGTGTTTTTAACACTACAGGGACAGAAATACAAGTTACGTGTTCCTTTAACCTGTTTACATGACAAAGTGAGGCAATTTAAAGAACTATTTAAAAAACAAAACAATTAAGTTGTGTAAAAAGATGCAATCTGTTTAAGCTTTCTTACTTTAAAAGCTCAGGTACGGATTGAGGTCCAAAACATGGGAACTATCCTAGGTAGATTTTTATTTTCTAATCAAAAACTAGACAGCTGTAATTTCCCATGAAGTGTCACAAACACGTGATATTCTCAATAGCCTGAGCACTGGACTTGTAGTGAAAAAACCCTCTGCTCACACTCCCATAGCTTATGTGTGACTGCATACTACAGTTTGTAACTAAAACGTAAAAACAACATTTATCTGTGCTGTATCCCCACACATTTAAAAATAAAATAAAAAAAATAAATAAAAAATTTAAAACCACTGCAAGGTCAAAGCATATACTCATCTGCCAGTGGCAAGGCAAATCCCAGAAGCAAAGGTGTTAGTGAGGGGGTGAGACATTCCTCAAAATTTTTTGTAATTTTTTCTTATTAGAATTTAGTCTATAGACAGTCGAGTCACGATATATGGATAAAAAAAAAAAAAAAAAAAATATATGCCACAGGCATCCAGATAGTCAAAAATTGTATAACCGAAGTGTGCGTTAAAACGAAGACTGCCTTTATTGTGTGCAGTTGTGCTTGGTAAAATGAAGACTATCCGTGTACAGGAAATGATTCACACAATACTTACAAGAACAATAGAAGAGCAGTCACACGATAACTCCGCACTCGGCGACCATTATTGTTAGATTGCAATGCACAGTCTGAGTGCGACAATGGATTTTTCCCAAGACTGTTTGATTTTAATTATTGCTAACTTAACAGTTTGTCCTTCCTCCTCTGTGCTAGAAGTTGTTCCATTACTAACTCTGCTGCTAGAAGAGAGTGTTCAGTGTCCTAAGAGAAAATGTCAGGAATACAATTTCTATGTCAAATACGTAATTAAATTGTTCTTATTTGCTTTCGGAAAGGAGAGTGTGTGTAAATTTTAAGTTTAAATGAAGTTGTTATACTGCCAGGAGGTCCCTGGTGCTGGCTCACCTTATGGGGTTAAGCTGTTCTCGAACAGTTTAACCCCATAGTCTTTATTCCAGCGCTGAATCTCTCTGCCTCTGTCCTTATGTTTTTGGTTTTTTAATTTGGAAGCCAGAAGGTTCTTGAAGAATTGGGCACTGGCGCCTCGGATTGATAAGGGCAGTCACCTGACGCTCTATGCTAATCAATGACTCCTCATTCAAAAGACTGGCTTGAAAAAGGATGGTTTATTTTCAAGCTAGTTTTATAAATGGGGAGTCACTATTTAAATATCACATGTCATATACACAGTATGGACTCCATGGCTGAAAGGATGACCATATACATGCTTTTAGAAAGTATTCAGAACCCTTAACTTTTTTCATATTTTTAATGTTGCAGCCTTATGATGGAATTTCCTAAATTGTATTTAAATTTTTTTTCACATCGTCAATGCACCAATGTTCAATATTGACAAAGCAAATAACTAGGGTTATTTTTTGTATTTATTTATTTTTTTAACTTTGCAAATACGTGAAAAAGAAAACTGAAATGTCATGTTGACTAAAGTATTCAGACCCTTAAAGGACCACTCTAGGCACCCAGACCACTTCAGCTTAATGAAGTGGTCTGGGTGCCAGGTCCTTCTAGGGTTAACCCATTTTTTCATAATTATAGCAGTTTCAGAGAAACTGCTATAATTATGAATGGGTTAAGCCTTCCCCCTAATCCTCTAGTAGCTGTCTCATTGACAGCCACTAGAGGCGCTTGCGTGCTTCTCACTGTGAAAATCACAGTGAGAGCACGCCAGCGTCCATAGGAAAGCATTGTAAATGCTTTCCTATGAGACCGGCTGAATGCGCGCGCAGCTCTTGCCGCGCGTGCGCATTCAGCCGGCGGGGCGTAACGGAGGCGGAGAGGAGGAGGAGAGCTCTCCGCCCAGCGCTGGAAAAAGGTAAGTTTTTACCCCTTTCCCCTTCCAGAGCCGGGCGGGAGGGGGACCCTGAGGGTGGGGGCACCCTCAGGGCACTATAGTGCCAGGAAAACGAGTATGTTTTCCTGGCACTATAGTGGTCCTTTAACTCGTTGCATAGGCTGTAATTGCTTTCATAGGTGCTTCAACTATGACGTAACAAGTTTTGCACACCTTGATTTGGGTAGTTTCTGCCATTCATCTCTACACATCATCTAAGAGGAACATAAACATGTATTCTTGACCCTATAACGTTAATAACACTATCTAGCCTCCCTGGCCCCCTAAAAATATAGTAAAGTCTTACCTTTATTCCAGTCTGCTGGTGCCAACTGTGCCCCTGATCTGCCTTCTTGGCTGACAATCAGAACTGATTATCTCAGCCAATCTCAACAGGAAAGCATTGGATTGGCTGAGATTGTCAATTTTGATAATATCTTTTTTTATTTGAAAAAAGGAAGTAGAGACAACGTTTGGCTCAGCCAAGGAGGCGGGCTGGAGTGGAGCCAAATGTCACCCTGACCAATCAGCATCCCCTCATAGAAATGCATCTCTACGAGGAAAGTTCCATGTCTCCATGCAGAGGGTGGAGACACTGAGTGGCAGTGCTGCACACTGTGCAGTAGTGACCCAGGAAGCACCTCTAATGGCCAACTGAGAAGTGGCCAGGGGAGGTATCCCTAGGCTGTAATGTCAACACTGCCTTTTTTCTGAGAAAACAGTGTTTATAGTTGCTCTGGTGACTATAGTGTCCCTTTAAGTATTGTAATAGTGGATGGGGACTTTCAGGTCTCTGAATCAGGTTTGACTAAATGGGTTTAAGTTCAGCCTCAAACCCACTGGGTTTAAGACCATTTTAGCGCCATAGCCACAACAGTTCACTAAAGAAGTAATGTTGCAAGGAGTCCCATTCCAAATATTTTGACACCAACCCACTTTCCTTGGGCACCTCCAATTTGGCCCTCATTTGCATACACTAGTTGTGGAATGGGATCTTCCTCGTCAGTAGTAAACATTTTGTCCATATTTGGACTAATATTCATTGACTAAGAGTGTCAGTTGACAAATATAAGTGTCAAACATGATTACTTACTGTGGGTCAGGAGATTCCTGTCACAGTATCCACTGCAAGGGCTGTACTAGTTATGGTACTTAGGCTATTTTACGACAGCATAAACCATGAAAGAAATATAAATAACTTAATATATTAAAAAAGGACTTGGACACTTGATTTATGTATTTGTTTATTTGAATATATATAATTTAAAAAAAAAAAATGTAAATGTCAAAACATATCAAAATGAAACTTTTGTTCCGTCGAAAACAAAATCATACGAGTTTCCTTGAACAAGATAAACACTTTGGGAAGGGTATCGTTTAACCCCTTAAGGACAGAGCTTCAGAAGCTTGTCTTTCACTTAATGACAACAGCATTTTTTTCATTTTTTGCTGTTTGCGTTCAACTGCAATTTGCATTTTACTAATTTGTTGCACATATTATACATTGTTTTTTAAAGGACAGAAAGGGCTTTAGTTTGATGTAACACACATATACATATATATAAATGCTTATTTATTAATATGAAAAATGTAAAAAAAAATGAAACAGTTTTTGCCATAATTAGCAGGTTAAGAAAAGTAATTAAAAATAAATTAATTTAGTTGTTCTGATTTACAGAATATATAATGTGTCTGGGATTTTTGGTAGTTACAGGTCACAAAGCACAAGGAGTAAAATAGACTTTTAATGTAGAGCGATTTCAGAATTTGGTATGTTTGTCTTGTAAGCTTAATAGCCATAAAAGAAAACAAAATTGCCACACAAAAGTATATATTTATATAAAGTAGACATCACGGGCTATTTACCTAAGGTTGTTTTGACACTTTCTACGTAGCCATTTCACCGCCAACCTCTGCTAAATATTGGAGTAAAATTGTGTTTTTTTGGTTTTTGGCACACAAACTTATAACAAAGAAATTCTCGTGTATATTTTGTAAAGTTGGTGTGTGCTATTCCTGTACAAAGTTTTATTTTGTGTTCAGTTACATCTGCTGAGTAAAATGACACCCCCATTGTATGTCTTTGGCACTATTTCGTGAAGTTACAGTGCCATACAGGATATTCACAGTAGAATTTTGAGAGATGGATTTAATGAGCCTTAGCTTCCATTTGGGGTATTATAACAGTTTGACTGTTCAAAAACCCCCACAAAGGCCTACCATTTGTAAAAGTAGACACTCCAGGGTATCTCATAAGGTGCATATTGTGCCTTAACATGCCCCCATTTTTTCACCAATATATGCCAAAGTATGTGGTAAAAAAAATTTTGTGCATTTTTTACATACGGATTGCATTTTTGCTGGGCGTTTTGTATATTTCATATGTGCCACTAAGTTCAAACCCCCCAAATTATGCTCAGCTAAGTCTTCTGAGTAAAAAGACACCCCCAATGAATGTCTTTGGCACTATTTCGTGAAGCTACAGTGCCATATAGGTGACCAAGCCATATCCATTTTTACCAGACTTTGAATTTTGACGCTGGGCCTATGTGCAATTTCCAAGCATCTTCGCAGGTTTTAAATTCAAACTACCCCACAAAGGCCTACCATTTCTTAAAATAGACACCCCAGGGTGTTTCAAAAGGTATATTTTGAACCTTAGCGTGGGATCATTTTTCCGCTAGCTTGTACCAGATGTAGTGGTAATAAGCTTTTTTTTCTGCCTTTTTGACATACAAAGTGAGTTTGCACAGTATATTTTGCAAACCTTATGTGTGCTACGACTGTATAATACTTCATATGTTGCTCAGCTATGTCGGCTGAGTACAGCAATACCCCCGTATGTACCTTTGCCAGGTATGTGTGGACATCGGAGGGGCACATTTGGGACACAGCCATTCCAGTTTTTTTCAAACTTTGAATTTTTATGCTGTGCCTATGTCCCATTTTAGAGTATTTTACCAGGCTATATAATCCAAATACCCCATAAAGCCATACCATTTCTTAAAGAAGACATCCCAGGGTATTTCAAAAGGCATATTTTGAACCTTAGCGTGGGATCATTTTTCCGCTAGCTTGTACCAAGTGTAGTGGTAATAAGCATTTTTTCTGCCTTTTTGACATACAAAGTGAGTTTGCGCAGTATATTTTGCAAACCTTATGTGTGCTATGACTGTATAATACTTCATATGTTGCTCAGCTATGTCGGCTGAGTACAGCAATACCCCCGTATGTACCTTTGCCAGGTATATGTGGATGTCGAAGGGGCACATTTGAGACGCAGCCAGTTTTTTTCTAACTTTGAAGTTTTACGCTGTGTCCATGTTCCAATTTGGAGTAGTTTAGACGGTTGGTTATTGAAACTTCCCCACAAACTAATACTATTTAATAAAGAATACACTCTGGGGTAATTCAAAAGGCATATTTTGAACCTTGGCGTGGGATAATTTTTTCTCTAGTTTGTTCCAGGTGTAATGGTAATGAGCGTTTTTAAAATGTATTTTTTCACTTTTTTTTTTTTTACTTTTAAAAACTAGTTTTTAAACTTTTGTTTTGCTTATTAATTATTTTTTAAACTTTCCTAAACTTTCTTAAAAAAACATTTTTTTTTTTACATATTTAACATTTTTCTAAGCTTTTTGTTTTTTACCATTAACCCCTAACTAGCAGTAAGCAACACTAACAGTAAATTCCCCATTTTCCATTAACTCCCACCCACCCCAGGTAGCAAAATATATAGTTATAAAATATTTAAAATTAATTAAATAAATTGAACCCCTGAGGGTTAAAAAATAAATAAAAGTTAATCCTCAGGGGTTAAAAAAAAATTAGATCACAGTATAATACTGTGATCTGTATTTGATCGCTGTAGGCAGTGATCAACTGGCAGGGAAGGGGTTCATTTTTATTTGGACTAGGTAAAGGGGGGTGTTTTTTGTATTTTTTTACTCTAATGCAGAGGCATACCGGAGCACCATTAACCCCGCGATCGCAGTGATCCGGGGTTAATTTTACCGCGTGACGGACGAGGTCCGTCACTCGTCATTAACCCCTTAAGGACTGGGCTGTTTTTGCGATGTTGTACATTTGCGACCAGGCATATTTTTACACTTTTGTGGTGTTTGTGTTTGGCTGTAATTTTCTGCTCTCTCATTTACTGTTCCCATACAAATTATACATTGTTTTTTTCAGGACAAAAGGGGCTTTCTTTACATACCATTATTTATATAATCTCATGTATTTTAAATTAAAAAAATTAAAAAATATGATGAAAAATTGAAAAAAAAATTTTTTTTGACTTTTACTTGAAAAATCTTTTACTCATCTACAAAAGTGAATGAAAAAAAACTGCTAAATAGATTCAAAATTTTGTCCTGAGTTTAAAAATACCCAGTGTTTACGTGCTTTTTTTTTGCATGTTATAGGGCTATAGGTACAAGTCGGATATTCAGGTTTTTAAAATGTATCAATAGTGACATTGTAACACTTATCTGTCATAAATCTCTGAATAACACCCCACATGTACATATTTCTTTTTAAGTAAACAACCCAGGGTATTCAATATGGGGTATGTCTAGTCCTTTTTAGTAGCCACTTAGTCGAAAACACTGGCCAAAGTAAGCATTCATATTTGTGTGTGAAAAAAGTAAAAAAAAACTAAATTGAACACTAATTTTGGCCAGTGTTTGTGACTAAGTGGTTACTAAAAAAGACTGCACATACCCCATTTGCAATACCTTGGGTTGTCTTCTTTTGCAAATGGTATACCATCATGGGAGTAATTCTCATTCCTGGGCTACCATACGCTCTCAAAAGGCAACGTAACCAACATGGCCATTTTCAATGTAAGAATATTTGACCTATATATTTGACCCTGTAACTTTCAAAAATACTATAAAACCTGTACATGGGGGGTACTGTTTTACTCGGGAGGCATCGCTGAACACAAATATTAGTGTTTTACTGTTTTGAATCACTATTATTTGTGTTCAGCGAAGTCTCCCGAGTAAAACAGTACCCCCCATGTACAGGTTTTAGGGTGTCGTAGAACGTCACAGGGTAAAATACAGTGCTAGCAAATTAAATTCTCTGGACTTTCAGCCTGGGTTGGCAGGCAGGTCCCTCGAATTGCAATCAATAACATTTAATTATGTAAGAATTTAAATATATATGCATATTTATATATTTGAAATCTACGTGTATATTTCTATAATTATTTATGTAATTTTGTATATGGACATATGTATATTTCGTATTATTTTTATTTATTTATATATACATAGATATATATACAAATTCATTCTAAGTATATTTTGATATAAATATATATTGGGGGAGCGTGGCCTGACCGTCAATGGACGGTCGCACTCCATCAGAGCTCCTAGGCCCCAGCCTGTCAAGCCTGGTGTTACAGCTTGAATCCAGCGATATTTCGTTCCACAATGGGGAAGACTAAAAGAGCAGCATCCCAGGACCACT